CCAGACATGAAAGACATTTGCGAAAATGTAAATCTGTGTCATTTTTCTCACTAACCTTTCTGTTTTGAAAAACGTAGTCATTTTTTTTTTCATAAAGACATGCCATTTTATGTACCATGCAGTGGGCATAATTATTATTTGCACGAAATGAATTAATACATATTTTTAAATTCTCAGTTTTAATTTCTAATACAATAAATAATGTTAAATATAGTCCACTTAATTAAAAGCTCTTTGGGGCTCTCAATACCTTTTAGGATGAAGAAGTTTGAGACCCACCGGCTTAGTGTATTGTTTGCCAGGGTGTATTCTGGTCAATGCATGGTTGCTTATTTCTTTGGAAAACTGTTGCGTGGTCAAATATATTTTGGGCCAGAAGGTATGCTTTCTTTTCTCTTAGAGGTTTGCAATACGTATCAACAAATCAACGGCCTTTAAAAGTGTTTCCTAAGTTTATTTCCACCTTTTTAATCCTCCTTTTATCTTAGCATAATGTGTTCCACCGTGGACTGTAGCAACCCATGGACTGCACTGGCTAATATATGGTATATACTGCTCTCTCCCTAGTTTTCAAAAATAAAAAGCAAGGTTTAGCAGATGCTTTGCTTCAAACCCATGCTTTATTTAGAGGATGGCCCATAAATGTTTACCACCTAACCTAACTCTCTTTTTAATTTTTCTTTTATTATTTTTCTATCCTCACCCGAGGACATTTTTCTAGTTTTTGTTCAGATTGAGTGGGAGGGGGAGAGACAGAGAGAGAGAGAGAGAAACATCGACTTGAAAGGGACACATCAAATGGTTACCATCCGCACGACCCAACCAGGGCTGGGGACAAACTGCAACCAAGGTACAAGGCCTCAGCGGGAACCGAAACCGGGACTCTCTGGACTGCAGGCCGACGCTCTAACCACTGAGCCAAACCGGCCAGGGCCTAACTCTCTTTTTAAAAGGAAAACCACTCATGCCCTGACCGGTTTGGCTCAGAAGTTGGAGCGTTGGCCTACAGACCAAAGAGTCGCAGGTTCAATTCCAGTCAAGGGCATTACCTTGGTTGCAATTTGATCCCCAGCCCTGGTTGGGATCGTGTGGGAGGCAATTAATAGGCGTGTCTCTCTCACAGTGAAGTTTCTCTCTCTCTCTCTCTCTCTCTCTCTGTCTCTCACTCCTCCTCCCTCCCTCCCACTTCATCTGAAAATCAATGGAAAAATATCCTTGGGTGAGGATTAAAAAATAATAATAATATAAAGAAAAAGAAAAACACTCACATTTCATCATATTATACTATTTTGCTTACAGTCTTCAAAGCTGTTTTTACTTATGTTTCCAAACTCATATGTTTAAAAAAACTCTGTTTTGGACATTTCTGTGTGTTAATGAGTAGCATCTGCTCCTGTGTCATAAAACAAAGTGATCCCATCCCACACTGATTGCCCAAATTGCAGGTTAAGTCCTAGCAGCCTGGCAGTGGAGCTATTACTACTGTTTGGTATTTTTAAATGGTAAAAAAATACCTTTAGTGTGCCTCAGATGCCTTTATAAAACACAGTTGCTTCTTGTAACAGAAAGATTTATAAATGGCAGTGGATTTTGTTGTATTTTTCTTTATGATTTTTTTCTTTCCAGCCCTTTGGTTTCCATTAGTCGTGAGCACAGTCCTAACGATTAAAGCCGCAGCACGCCACAGAATGGGCAAAGAACGTGTCCCTGCTCATGGACGGGCTTCCCCTCCCACTAAACCAGGTGCTGAAACAGCCAGCAAGTGCCTTTCTGACAGCAGTGCCATTCTATATTTGTCTCTGGGTAGAAGTGCAGGGATCCTTTCTTTCGCTTTCTGTGCTTCGCACGTCTGTCAAGCAAAGAATGGGAAAGTCTTAATTTATTATAATAATTAAAGGGACAGTAGTCATTGTATTTTATATACTTCAAAAGGTTTTTTGTTTTTTTTTTCTTTTTAGGTTTTGGTCCTGCCGGTTTCTACTTAAAAACTTAATATTGTTTGACTCTACTGAGTTTCTGTTGCAACTTTGCTTGCTGCTGCTGCTGCTGCTGCTGCTTATAACTTCAGAAAATGATGACAGAAATGCTTATAAAAGTTTCCTTTATCATTTAAAAATTCAAGCAGAAATCACTGCAGGTGTTTTCTTCAATATTTTGTTGTTTTAAAAACCACTGGGCAATTTTAGGGAGAACTCTTTACATGTGCGAAAGGAGCGCCGGTCTGTAGGAATACTTGTTAGAGCATTTGCGTTTGCTCTGCAAGTTCGCTCCTAGATAAGTCAGCCAGGTGACCAGACTGAAATTAAAAAACCAGACTGAGTTTACTCTTCAGACAGCAGGAAGCCACCGTTCCATCTTTTCTGACAGTTGAGTATAGATGGTAGTCTATTCGGGATATCAAAATAGAAGAACTAGAGATCTGTGGCAGGTTAAGAAGTTAAGTGTGGATGCACATGGGCCATTGTTCATTTAAACGGTGCTGGGAGCACTTTCTGCAGAGAAATCCTTGTTCCTATAGTAACTTTCAGCATCCAGGATTCTCTGTGAATGTTCTAGGCCCCTGGTGTTCATTTCTCCTTTCTGGACTTTTGGTCTCATCTCTATTTATTACTTTTGGGTAGGCAAAGGAGAGTCAACTCAAGCGCGCTTGTTTTGTCGGTTATTAGCACTGCTGAAAAGTTTGCTGAAGAAGGGAAATACATTGCAACTCTTGCTGAAAATGTAGAATTTTCAGTGGTTTCCTTTCCATAAAAATTGTCTCACTCTTGTGGGACTATGTGTAATCGAGGGTCAGTTATAAATCACAATACAAATCACTTCCAACTCCTTCACCTCTACAGGGATAAGAATGGAAAATCCTGTCACTTAGATGGAGATATATATATATATATATATATATATATATATATATATATATATAAAATTTTTTTCCTTTTTTTCTCTTCTACAAATAGTGTAAGCCTTGCCCCTCTGGGCATCAGACTTTGGCAGCCAGTGGAGGGCCCTGAGCTAATAATGGAACCATTCTGCCTCTTCCAGCTAGATTTTGCTCCACTTGGTGACAAGAATATCATCCAAAAATGAATTTCTCTCTTTAGGGCAAAAACAAAACAGAAAAGAATTTTCAGTACTATGAAAAGTATTGTGCTTCTGGTAAACTTTCTGAACCAACACCACATTCCATTCTGTTCAACAACATTATGTCCAGTAAGAGTCAATGGGCATGAACGATTAAACCCAGAGTCTAGTCAAAGCATAAATTAACTTGCTGTGTGACTTGAAGAGGTCCATCAACCTCTCTGGGCCAGCAGCTTTATTTGCAGAAGAATTTTGAACTAGATGACAAAGATCCTTCCTATTCTAGAATATCAAGGTATAGAACTGGTAACATATAAGAAAATGCAGCAATTTATTTTAATAAAACAAGATTGAGACCAGCCAGTAACTCAAAGTGGGCTTGCTTAAACCGTCCTTCTCTCTCCACATTCTGTTTTTACCAGAACGGTAAGCTAAAGGCAATTTGTCATGCTTTGAACTTCCTGGCTCATGTTGATTCATATCAATATGTTACTGTTACACATTTGACTGGGAGCTGAGTTACATTTCATGAAAAGTGCTCAGAAAACTAATAAAATCGTTACAACCCCACTTTCAGTGAGTATTGATAGCATCAAGAAAATAAAAAAGATGGCCATTTTCAGGCAGTTGCTCTTTCAGCAAGACTGAAAACACATTGGTCTTAATCTCAACTCACTTGTTGAAATTCACCAAGAGCAGCTTTCTCCTCCTCCAAAGTTTTAAGTGCCTCCATGAACCTAACCACGGATATATACAACCCCCCAAAGTCCTTTTCAGACATGTTGAGTATTCTATAAAGTAGTAGCTTCAGAAGTCTTTCAAGGAATTAGTCATTCACACAGCAACCGAGCAAGGCATAAAAGTATACCCGCTCTCACAACTAGGTTGTTTGATGGTGAGATCTTTGGCGATTACCTCGGGACCTTTGGAGATGCACAGCGTTTAGAGTTAAAGTAGGAAGCAGTCCCGTAGTTTGAGAGCTGGTTGACAGCCTTCCCGTGGGCTTTCAAAATAGAGGAGGAAGAGCTCATCAAAGGCTGCAAAGGATGCAGACATCTTTTGGAGACCCGTTCCAGGCTCTCAAATGGCCATTGTCAAAAAAACAAACAGTGGGGTGGGTTTGACTAAGCATCAGAAGAAGCTAGAACAACATGCAGTGACAAGTGAGAGTTTTTAAGCTCACAGGCAGAAGAGAACTTTCCAGGGCGACCTTGTCACACACAGTTCGAATGTGTAGGCTTTCCCAGCTGCTTTGGGTGGGGGTAAAGTGGCATGCATATTTTAACCGTTCATTTCATATTCAGCGTTTTAAGTACATGCTGTTTTCCAACTTGGGTGGAGAAACTTTTTATCAAGATTTATTGAGAGTCAGAACAAAAACCCATCAATTACTTGTTTGTAGTGCAAAGTGGAAAATGTTTTCTCTCTTACACTGTATTTGTTTTGCTCAATCCCAACAGCATCTTATTTAAAAATGTTCATAACAGTTCAATCAGTGAGTTTAATGGGCAGAATCAGATGGGTTTTAATTTGAAACAAAACTTTTTCTACTTTCTACCCTCGATAAACTGCATTTCAGAATCTTTAATTATTTAAACATAATGAATCCTTCCTTATTTACTTATTTCAGTTAGTAAACTTGGAAATTTGCAGGCACAATGCCACTGGTGTGTATTTAATTTTCAAGGTGCAGTACCTACCCAGAGGTGCTCTGTTTCTTCTTTCCTCCCCACCCCCTCCAGTATTTTAGGGTACCATATGTAGATCAGTTGTGTGATAGCTTCGTTCTGGTAATTAATATGCTTGTTTGAGGTCATAAAATATATACATCTGACAAAAGCCAGGGATTTCCCCCTGGATGTCAACTAACTGCTTCAAGAGGCATTTTCATTCTGAGTCGGTGTTTTGTTTTCTTTCTGCAGCGTGCTGGAGCGAAATGAAGGGCTTTATTCTGAGGCCTCCGCAGTGGTGCTGCTGCAGACCATGAGCAAGGGAGAAAGCGTGGACCTCAGCGCGCACGGATGGTCTTGAAACACAAGTGGTTTGGGGTAAGTCGTCCGAAGGCCTTGGCATTCATTAGCCTTAAATTTCATCCATCATTATTTATTTGGTGTCCCAGGACAACTTATTGAAGTGCATGGCCATTTCTCTACAACCCAAGCAACAGCATGTGTGAGAAAACTGTTCTCGTGATGGAGAGCAACAGACTTTACTTAGTTGTGTTTGTTTCTCCCATGTGCAGAAGAATAGGCTCTGAGTAGAATGCGTTTGTCATTAGAAAAAGACCTAAAAGAGAAAAAAACAAATAAACAAGCAACTAAGGACACACACAACAAGCAAACTACATTTCCAGACACTTCATTTTCGCGGAGAGCATAAGATCTCAGATTAATTTGATGGCAAGTTTGTGACCCTGTGGTGAAGCATTGGGATGGGCAAAGGTGAGTGGCATTGGGAACTTCCAAGTCCTGTTCAACAAATGTTTGCTGAGCACCTTTTCACTAAACATGGGCCCTGAATGACAGTCTTGGGGTGAAATTGAAATACCCTGAGCTATAAATAAACAATTTCAAACTACATACCAAAATAATGTGGACTTCCAAGAAAGCTTTATCAGCCTAGCTCATTGTATTTTTTGGAAACAGAATCCTCAGATGGAAGCTCAGTGCTGCCCACCTATTTTGGTGACCTCGGACAAATTGTTCATCCCTTGGAATGAATGAATCACCTCTAGAAACATGAGGACATGCCTCCATGATCACCATGGTCTTATGCAAATTTAAAAATGTAACAGTCCACTCTCATGAAATTAATTAAATAATTATACTTTTTTTTTTGGCTCAACAAAATTTATGGTGTGCTCCTAGCAGGTCATCATTTGCAGGAAGGCTTATTAGATCAACCAGTGTGGAGGAAAGGGTCAGACCCCTGGGGGGCCCTTCTGCTTGCTGGCACTGGTCTTGGGAACAGCCCTTTGGTCAAGCAGGCCTTTTACTTCTGTGGTTAATAATTTATTCCTTGTAGCACAGTGTTATATGAATATAATATTTGAATACATGAGATAGGCTTGTTTTGAATTATGGTTCTTTTTTGTCAGGGATCTAACTTTCTCCCTCTGTGTCTGCTCTCACCGTGTTACGGGTTGCCTGCCAGTCCTTCGACCCCACAGAACCCAGACCTTGGTTTACATTGATCAGGATTTATTTTCCTTTCTTACTAAACATCCCCTTTCTGAAGCAGAGCTGTGAATGACACTTTAAATGACGCTCAGATGTTACTCTTGTTAGCAGCTGGCTGTCTGCCTCAGAGTGGTGCATTATTTGGGTTTCATAACAGCATTTTTTTTTTCTCTTACAAATGTTAAATTATGAAGTGCAGGAAACCACATGAATGCGGCAGAATGAAAATGCAAACAGTGTTATCTGGAAATGCCAGTTTTATGATTCTCCTGGTGACACTATCCTCCCTGCAATCAACATATGAAGCCTGTCTACCCTGTTCAGTAGTGGTTTTCTATCCCATGTCTTCATCTTCATTTAGGCCGTATGGTGTAGCCACCTTGGCATGCTGAATCAGGAAGTTCGGTTAAGATGGCTGTGTGGGGTTGTCCCCTCTTTCCAGGTTCTGCCTGACTACTGAGCACAGCTTTTGTTCACAGTTTTCCCTGAATACTCACTACTTCACCGCCCACCTCTATTTATGAGTGCCTATAACATGTAGAGCTAGCATCATACAAAAATGTGTGGCTCTGCATTGCTTTTTGGGTGGTCGCCATCACCCCATCTGGGTTGCAGACCGCTCGAGGGCAGGAGTCAGATCACAGCCCAGTGTTTCTCAAAAGTGTTCTAGCTCCAGGACTTCCTGATCAGAATCACCTGGACAGACATAGTAAAGCTGCAGATTCAGCAACACCAGGCTTGATGAGTCAGAGCTGCTGGGGATACGGAGCCCAAGAAACTCACCACAAATACCTCTGTAATACCTCTGCTGCACCATGAGGTTTGCTAACAACTGTCTGAGTCTACTTCTTCACCCTCCTCTTTGCTTCCTCACCAGAAGCACAGGGCTAGGTCTCAGCACGTCGTAGGTGCCCAGGAAATCTTTGCTTGTTGATCTGAGCAGCATCAAACCATGATGGCTACATTCACTTTTTGATTGCCTCACCTTTCAGGATGTGAGCTCGGCATTTTCTCTGGACCCTTCAAAACCCCATTTTGTCTGAATGTGTCATATCCCCCCAGGTCCAAGGCTTTTTTATGTCTGTCTCTTCACCCACACACTCTGACTGTCCTTAGTCATAGTGCAGCCCTGCCTAAGACTAATACAGCAGGGAGCAGATGCAGGGACCTGCCCTGGGGCAACAGGACGGGAGGGAGGGCTGAGGATGGGCAGTGCTGTGGTAACCCCGGATCTCTATCCTTAGCTCCCAAAACCACACCTGCTGCCCTTGGCAGTTTATTTTGACTGATATTTCTTTCAGCTGTTAGGGCTAATGGGTGGTCAGTTTAGGTGGCAGGAGAGTGGTCCCATTGCTGAAAGGGATAAAGTTAAGCTGCAGTAGATCCATCAAAACACCCACGGTGGAGATTCCAGAATGGCGGTGGAGTGAATGGAAGCTGCACAGACTGTCTCCCAGGACCAAACTGGAATTACAACTAAAATAAAGACAAAAGCAACAGAAAAGCAGCTTGCAAGGATCATATAACCAGGGACACTGACTCGATCCTGGTAGGATTGCGGAGGCACGAGACCGGGGCTGGGAGCCCACGGTCGGCAGCTCGGCAGTGGCCTCAGCTGGGAGCAGCGCCCTCGGGTTACACTCCCAAGTGGCTCCATGGCGCAGACCAGGGACAGAGGCTGAAACAGCCACAGCCACTCACCTTGGGCTCCGGCAGAGGGAGGGCAGACTGGACTGGAGCTGTGTGGGGATACTCGGGATTTGAATGGTGCTCAGAGCTTTTGCTGAGTGCAGCCACGCAGGATGGTGGCCATCTTACTTCTTCCCAGGACTCTGGGGAGAGGTGGCGGCCCCTCCTTCAGAGATTCAACCCCACCCAGGTGGGCCATTTAAATGCAAATTGAGGATCATTAACAACCAGCATCTGCCACACCCTCGGGAAATCCCCTTAGCTGAGCACCTGAGGGAGTTATTCATTCAACTAAGAACCCAAGGCTCTTCAAATAACTGCAACTGATAGCCTCCAGGCAAAAAGATAGAGGATAAGTGAACCATTCCTAGGCTAGCAACTCTAACCAGGAAAGTAAGACTTGGCAGTGGTGTTTAATGTGGGTCCTCCATCGCTCATCCAAACCCAGGAGAGGGAGCCACAAACAGCAGAACATCAACACCAACAGGGAAAATTTGGCAGGCTCGAAAGCCCACTGTGATAGCCAAAATGGTGAAACAAAGAAACAAAAGCCAAATGAAAGAACTAGAGACCTCTACTGAAGATGAGATAAATGTGGAGCAGTTAAGCAAGTTGACAGAGCTAGAATTCAGAGCCATGATCTTGAGGAAGCTCAAGAGTATGAGTAAGGACATCAACACCATGAGTAAAGACATAGAAATGTTGAAAATCAACCAATTGGATATTAAAACCCACCAAGAAGAAATGAAGAATGACATATCAGAAATAAAGAACACATTGGAAGGTCCAAACAGCAGAGTAGAGGAAGCTGAGGACTGGATCAGTGAATTAGAAGACAGGGTAGAAAAAAATCAACCAATCAGAAAACCAAAAGGAAAAAACAATGAAAAAACAGGAAGACAACTTAAGAGAACTGTGGGACAACTGGAAACAAAATAATATTTACATCATAGGAGTCCCAGAAGAAAAAGAAAATGAGCAAGCGTTAGAGAATATATTTGAAGAAATAGTGACAGAAAACTTACCTAATTTGGTGAAGGAAGAAAGCATTCAAGTTCAAGAAGCACAGAGAGCCCCAAGTAAGAAGAACCCAAACTGGCCCACACCAAGACACATAGTAATTAAAATGCCAAAAATTGATGACAAAGAGAGAATCCTAAAAGCAGCAAGAAATAAGCAATAGGTTACCTACAAAGGAAACCCCATAAGGCTCTCAGCTGACTTCACAACAGAAACACTACAGGCCAGAAGGGAATGGCATGAAGTAATCAAGGTCATGAAAAACAAGGATCTGAATCCAAGACTACTCTACCCAGCAAGGCTATCATTCAAAATAGAAGGTCAAATAAAGAGCTTCCCGGACCAAAAAAAAGGCTAAGGGAATACATTAGTACCAAACCAGCACTGCAAGAAATGTTAAAAGGACTGCTGTAATTAGTAGAAGAAATAGGAAGAAAAATATAACCAAACTAAACAAAAATGACAATAAGTACATATCAGTTATCACCTTAAATGTGAATGGCTTGAATGTTCCAATAAAAAGACACAGAGTAGCTGATTGGATAAGAAAGAATGACTCATTTATATGTTGTTTACAAGAGACCCACCTCACAACAAAAAGACTCACATAGGTTGAAAGTGAAGGGATTGGAAAAAAATCTTCCAAGCAAATGGAAATGAAGAAAAAAGCTGGGGTAGCAATACTCATATCTGATAAAATAGATTTCAAAATGAAGACCATAACTAGAGGCAAAGAAGGCCACTACATAATATTGAAAGAATCTATCCAACAGGAAGATAAAACTGTGATAAACATATATGCACCCAATATAGGAGCACCAAAATATATTAAAAATCTTCTGGAGGACGTCAAAGGAGAAATCGACAGCAATACAATCATAGCAAGGGACTTCAACACTCCGCTGACATCACTGGATAGATCCTCTAGACAAAAAAATAGCAAGGAAACAGAGACTATAAATGAAGCACTAGACCAAATGGATTTAATAGCTATCTATAGAGAATTACACCCCGCCCTGGCCGGTTTGGCTCAGCGGTTAGAGCGTCGGCCTGCGGTCCAGAGAGACCCGGGTTCGGTTCCCGCTAAGGGCGCGTACCTCGGTTGCAGTTTGTCCCCGGCCCTGGTTGGTTGTGCGGGTGGCAGCCACTCGATGTGTTCC